GCCACCACTTAGTACTAGTCAGCCCTGCTCCCACCACCACCACCACCACCACTTAGTACTAGTCAGCCCTCCTCCCACCACCACCGATTACCAGTCAGCCCTACCAGCTTCATCGGCAGGCAACTCCACAACACTAATGCCATAAATAACTCTACTGATTCCAACAATAACCAACATCACTATTGACCAACTCTGCCTACCACAACTACTCTAACCAATCCAATACCACACCAACCCATTCTACCAACCCCTGTACCACCACCTACCCATTGTACTAACAACAATGACTCTACCAACCCATTACTGTATTAGCAACACTGAACTCTACCCCCCAATAACTAACTACTAACCAACCACCACCATCAGCAACCAACTCTACCCACCCCAGCATTACTACTACCAAACTCTACCATCAACAACCAACTGTATCACTTCATATTACCCCCAATCAACTTTAACAACTCCACCATCAGCATTAGCACTCTCTACAGTAACAATCTACTCAACTTTCACTTATCCAACTTTTCCAGCATTGTGACCACCATTACCACATACAGTGGTAGTAACAGTGTAGCCACCACCATTGTCACCACTGTTGACTTTATCAGCATTCCCACAAAATTAATTTAGTAGCCTCTGCTACCACCCACTTCCATAAACTCTATATAATTACTACCATCCAAACCCCCGCCCCATCAGCACCATCCGTACCAACTATCAATACCAAGCAATCGCCCTCAAGGTCATGCATCTATACTAACACCATGGCTGCTGTAGCACTCCAGTGCTACTCCAGTTTCAGCTTTCACACCACCATCACCACCACCGTTATCATCCCTCAGAACCGCACATGACCCCACCATGAATACTCTCATACTCAATTAGCCACCATCATGGCAACTCTCTCTCCTTCACCACCATTACCCCCACCCACTCCAGCACCATCATGGCCACCATGAACACCCCATCTCCAGCCCAGTGGCTCCATACCTCACCATGCCCACCACACCAGGTATTATCCAACCTTGCTCCCTCAATGACCTCATCACCCTTGATGGGGCTAAGGGGAGAGAAGACATCCAGGGGTCAGGAAATCTGATCATTAGCCCTGTCTTAGCTGAATTGCTGGCCTTCCCAGTTTCTACCTAGGATGACAGGGTCAGTAGCCGTGCCTGACCCATAGGGCCATCGTGAATCTTCTCAGGGGTCTGAGCTGCTCAGAAAGCACCAAGGATAGTCAACTACCTCAGTTGCTGCTGAGTGGCTTCCAAAAGGTGCCCCCACACGCTGCATTGGATTTTCATTGGCTGGGTTTTCAGAAGTAGACCACCAAGCCTTTCTTCTGAGGGGCCTTTGGGTGGGCTCAGGCTTCCAACGTTTGGGGTTGAATGTGTTAACTGTACCACTCAACAACTCCTTGGACTGCCTGCCACCAAATCATCAGACCTGGCTACTACTTAAAATCACAGGCTTAGCTGGTGACAGCTCTAGGTGTTGTTCCTTCATGTGGGGGTCTCTTGGGCTCCAGAGAAATTCTCCCTTACATAGAGGAGAAGTAGAATCCTAGAACTCTAAGTGATGGTCTTACAGATGCCCCGGACAGTTCTACCCTTCATGGTACAAAAGGGGAAACTAAGCCCAGAAAGGCATCAAGACTTTTTCTCAAGCCTAAGCACCCTGAACCTGAATCGAGACTTTCACATTCTTGGTTCAGTGGCCCCAGCCTGGGGGTGACTATGGCCTCTCAATCTCCCAGGCATCCAGCCTGCTGTCTTTGCCTTCCCATGTGCCACGCTCATCACTGTGATGCTGGCCTTCATCATGTATGTGACCCTGAGGAATGCCACACAGCAGAAGGACATGGTGGAGGTGAGTGCTCAGGGAACTGGGGCTGCAGGCCCTGACGAGGGAGGCTATAGGCTGTGGAGAGGGTACAGGGGCCAGGCCAGGAGGCTTTAAGCAGGTGTTGATGTCAGAGAAAGACCCTGGGACTTGGGGTGATATGTCTAAGAAGCACCCACAGATCAGGCCAGATTGTTGGGCTGCCTTGTTCTCCTGTGCTCTCCTTTGCCCTGGCACTTGTGTCTAGGGGCCACTAAGGAAAGGGCCGATGATGGAGGGAGGCCAGGCATAGAGTATTCTAAGTGGTGCCTTCTGCCATTAGGCAGCTGAGCTCATAAGGCTACCTGATGGGGTTTCTCGGTGGGCGGTGATTGGCCCCTGGGGTTTTGTTCACCATAGGTGGCTGATTTTGACTTTTCCCCCATGTCTGACAAGAACCTGCAGCCTCCTTCTGGTGGGCCAAAGTGCTGCTGCCAGATGTGCTGTGCGCCCTTCTTGCTGGAGAGCCCAGATGAGTACCTGGAAATCGTCCGAGAGCACCATGGACTCCTCCCACCCCTCTACAAGTCTGTCAAGACTTACACTGTGTGAGACCTACCCTCCATCCCGCCTCAGAGCTAACTGACTGCCGGCTGGGAGCTTCCAGAAGAGTGGTGCATGCCACCACTGAGCAGGAAGGTTTCAGTGTGCAGGGTGTGTGTCCTGGCTGTCTGCCTACCTATCTCTCCGCCTCCCCATCCAACCACTGCCACAGCCCCTCTTGGCCACCTTCCCTCCCTCCCCTGAAGAGGCCTTGGGTGGAACTCAGGCACTTGGCATGTGCCCTGTTCCCTCCCAGGCCCCTCCCCCATTGCTCTCAGATGGGCATATCTGCCCTCCATCTGGGGTCCATCTTCCCAACTCCTTCCCCTCCCTGCCCTCCTCACTCCCCCAGCCAACTCTGCCTATGTCAGAGAACTAGGAGGGGGTCAGAAGGTCGGAGAGTGTTAGAACACAGGTCATGTAGCCAGAGACCCACAGGCACACAGACATGAACACACACACATGTCATGCTGGGTTCTCAGATTCGTCCCTGTCATGACATGTCCCTTTGTGTCAGTTCTAGAGTTGCTGAATTAGAACAAAAATGAAGTTTGACCTTCTCTGCTCAGCCCCAACCGCTCCCAGGCCCAGCCCGGTCTCTCTCTGCGTGTCCCCTCTGTGGCTCCACGCTGCTCCCTGCCTGCTTGCCAGTGTTGGGTGGGGGCAGGACCACCTAGTTGTGAGTGCAGTGCATTATCAATATCCCCGCCTTCTTTTGCTGTTATCCATGGATTCAACTGGAACGGTAGGAATGGCCTTGCAGCTAAAGGAGCTGGGAACAGGCATGGACTTGGGGTCCCAGGGGTGGGCCATGCTCCTCCGGCCCATGCAACCACCCCTGGGGGAAGGGGCGGGCACTTGAGGAAGAAGAAGCAGGACTGGACGCAGCTGAGTGGCGATTTCGGCTTCCCTCTGGTGGAGGGCCAGGAAGACAGTGCATGCAGGGGCAGAGTTATGGGGCAGGCCCAGCTCCACGCCTTCAAGGTCCCCGGAGGGATCCGAGGGAGCTGTTTGGGGGTAGGGGGGGCAGGCTGGGAGCTCTGTCACAGTTTTATTGACTTGAAGATGTCATACCCATTTTCGTGAAATCCTGCCCTTACTGCTGATTAAAGCTTGCGTGTGCTGAGTGTAGCCGAGCCTGGGGCGTGTGGCCGAGTTGTTCTCAGGCATAGATGTTTGCAAGCCGCAAGCGCGGTTCTTGGACATGCTCATCAGAACCTCGTCTCCTCGTGCCGGTTGAGCACCACCTGTGCCGGCTCTCTGACGTCTTGCTTATCCAGCAGCCACGATGGGCGGTGGAGTAACTGCCACTCTTTGGCTCTTGGGAACAGCAGTGGACGCTGGAGCACAAGTTCCCGGCCCATTTTCATGGGCGGGGTCATTGAATCCTTCCTGGAGTGTGTTCATCATAAGGGGGTGGGGACTTTGGGGGTGGGGGTGGTGAGACAGGCTGCCATGCCAGCTGTCAGCAGTGTGGGGCCTTGCATGGTCAGGAAGAAGCCTGATGAGACCCTCGTGTCTTGGCCTTCTGCTTAGAGACTCACAGGGAACCTTGGAGAAAGAGGGGGCAGTGGGCTTTAAAAAAATTATTTATTTTTTGTTATTTAATATTTTAAAACCTTGCTGTTATCGAAACTACACAGCCCAAACTCAGAAACCAAACTCATTGCCATCGAGTTGATGCTGACTCATGGTGACCCTATAGGACAGCAGAATGGCCCCTGTGGGTTTCTGAGACTCTAACTCTTTACTGGAGTAGAATGCCCCTTCTTTCTCCTGAGGAGCAGCTGGTGGTTTTGAACTGCTGACCTTGAATTAGTGGCCCAACTTGCAACCCACTACACTACCAGGACTCCTACATACAGCAAAACCGTCACCAATTCAACAGTCTCTACAATTCAGTGTCATTAATGGACCTGTCTCTCTCTTCTGTTCTGAGATGTTCCTCCCCAGTCAGCTAAACTCACGTTGCTCGCCGGGGTTCCTATCTAATCTTTCCCATTTGATCCCCAAACGCAAAAACCAAGCTCAGTGCCGGCGAGTCGATATGGACATCGCTAGTTCTTAAGCAAGCGCGCGCTGCAGGCAGCCGTGTTTAACTAGGTAAAGCTAGACTGTTGTTTGGGTTTAAGGATACTTCCGGGAATCTTTTTGATCTCAGGGAAATAGTTTGAGGGATCTGTCTGCCCCCCACGGCTCCAGAAAGTTTAGAGTCTGTGAGCATTTGAAATTCTGTTCTACAGTTCCCTTCTTTTCGACAGAATCTCTCATCAAGATGTTCAGTAACAGTAGCTGGGCACCATGCAATTCTCCTGGTCTCAGTAGCCACCGGTTCCTTCCCCTCTGACTCCTGACTCTCCTTCCTCTATGCCAGGTGGATTATGGAGCCCTGGAAGTGTGCAAGCTTTTAAGAAGAAGGCTCTTTGTGTGTGTTCTCACCTCAAGGTGCCATTTTTGAACCACTGCCCCCAAGGAATAGCCCACAGCTCCCCCATTTCCCTGCACAGGCCTTTCAGGAAGCCAAGGATGAGAACATTTTTAGCTCCAGTCAGCTCTGACCCGTGGTATGCAAAAGCAGAGCTGTGTTCCACAGCGTTTATTGGGCTGCGGTCTGCAAAGTCAGCAGTTTGAACCCAGCAGCTGCTCCACAGGAGAAAATGGGGCGTTCTACTCCAGTAATAGGTCACTGTGAGTTGGCATCTACTCGATGGCAATGAGGTGGTTTTTTTTTTTTTGGGGGGGGTGTTGTCTGGTCTCTTGAATCTCCAGGGTGGACTCAAACTGCCAACCTTCTGGTGCCCAGCTGAACACATTCACCACTTGCACACACACACACACACACACACACACACACACCTGCCCCAGGGACACCATCTAAACTCCAGCTGGGGGGATTTAGGAGTGGCTGGTCACACCACTGGAGGGGTGACATCTCTGGACCAGCTCATTGACTCCTCATAGAGAAAAATTTTTTTAATGTACAAATTGTCAACCTCGCAAGACGACAGAGAGCCACCAGTTGTCTTAGAGTCAATTCTGTGTCCCTGCACCACAGAATAGAACTGCATGCCCTTGTCGTTGTCTCAGGGCTGTGGCTGTCAGAGCCTCGGTGGTGCTGTTGCTGTGAAGGTCAGGGGTTTGAACCCAGTGGTCACTCTTTGGGAGAAAGACGAGGCTGTCTGCTCCCGTAAAGGCGGACCACGCCTCAGAAGACCCAGTGAGGGTCCCTGTGAGTCGGAATGGCAGGGGCTTTGGAAACAGGCTGCCGATTTTTCTTCAGAGATGCCTCTAGGGAGGTTTGAAGGACCAACCTTCCTGTTCGTAGCTCATTCCTTCACTGTTGACCCCACTCAGTGACTCTATTAGGGTTAAAATAGAAGAAAAAACCTAAATGAGGTCTGTGGATGGGGAGTCACTGCCGATTGCAGATGCGAAGAAGTGGGCGTGCAAGGCAGGCAGGCGATCAAGCACATCGGAGGCCCTGGGCTGCCTGGGGAGAGTGGCACAGCTTCAGGGCAGGCCTCCCAGGCCACCGCTGCTGTGCACTCAGGCTGAGTGCTGCAGGCTGAAGGGGACAGTGCTCGCTGTGTGTTTTTTTTTTTTTTTTCTGGTCCTGGGGCTGGGCTGCAGCGCTCCGCCCTGCCCTGTCTAGGCACCTCACGTCTGTGTGCCCTCCCTTCGCCCCGGCTGACTATTCCCACCACCCTGCAGGCCCTGGCTCTCTTTAGCTCCAACCCATGGTGGCCCTGTGGACAACAGGAAGCACTGTGGTCTGGCCCTGCACCGTCACCATGGTGGCTGGCCTGCTCCCATGGCTCCAGCTCAAGGGACACAGGCTCACTCTGGATGAAGTGTGTTGAAACACATCCCTGTCACCAGTGGATGGCTGCAGACAAGCGCTCAGGAATACGCTGCTTGCAGTCTCCTTAGGGTACCTTGATACAAACAAAAACGTCCAATCAAAACGGTGGCTTCGGAGGGGATCTGCTGGATCCCGTCAAGGCAGACAGGGCAGCTCCGGAGATTCCGGTGACAGAGCTTGGAGATTCCCGGGGGGTCATGGTGCTCGATTTTCTCCCAGGGGGCTTCGGACGATGTTTTCAGAACATCGAACGTTGCACGAGTGGGAAAATGGCCAGGAACTATGCCCTGACAAATTGGTTTCCATCACACGATACACCTGCTCATCCTTCGAGGGCAGCTAGGGGTGTCCGCTCCCCCACCCCGAACTCCACCCTGGGTGGTCGTTGTTAGGGGCCTTCGTGTTGGTTCTGACCCACAGCAACCTGATGCCTAACAGAACGGAACACAAGCTGGTCCTGCACCGCCCTCCCAGGAGTTCCTGTCTTAAGAGTCCATCTTTGCAGCCTCTGTGTCGCTCCATCTGGTCGATGGCTTCCTCTTTCTCCCTGCCCCTCTGCCTCACCAAGCAGGGCGTCCTTCTCCCAGGCTGGTCTCTCCCGACAACACGTCCACGGTCTGTGAGACCAAGTCTCGCCTCTAAGGAGCACCGGCCTCGCTCCGTTAGACTTCTCTGCAGGGGTAGACAGCCTCCTCTTTCCCCCAGGAGCGGCTGTGGACTCCGACCTCTGACCCCGGAGTCAGTAGCTAACGCTGCCAGGGCTCCTGTTTGTAAAGCGTGACACCTAATAGCAAGATGACAAAAGACAGCAACGTGTGGAAACGCAGTTGTCAGAATAGTGACAGGCATGCGTGTACTTCGTCAGCAAGCCCTCTTGGTGGCTGCCTTCGCTCCTCGCATTTGGAAGCCGCTCCTGCAGAGAGCGACAGCTCCGGAAACGCACAGGGGAGTTCTGCTCTGCTCTGTCCGGCTGCTGGGAGCGGTGGGTGTGGTGTTTGGAGTTTTGCTTTCAAATCAGATGGCGCTCCTGCGGGTTCGGGCCCAGCTCAGTGCCATCGACAGAAGATCCCAGTCAAGACTCATCCAAATGTGTATGTTTTCCTGGTGAGTCTCTGAGTTCCCATGACCCCAGGGGAGACAGGAACAGAATGGATGGAAGGCATTGTTGTCCACGTTCCACACAGAACACACTTTCCTTCTGGGATGGACGACGTGAGACATAAATGTGACATGGGCACACGCGCTCGTTGGGAAAATAGCCCCCGCAGACTTGCCACAACGGTCCCTTTGTGAAAAACCCACAGTATCTGACAAGGGCACTAACGGGAAGCCCCACCCTAAGCAGGCCAGCCGCTGCGTCCTCGTTTCCCGTGAAGGTCCACAGGGGAGCCGGTATAACCGGTGACTCTGCTCTCTTAGGACCAGAGGAAAGGACTCTGCTGGGGGCTTTAATGGCAGTGGGATCCCTGGTGGTTCAGGGGGTTATGTGTTGGGCTGCTAACCACAGGATCAGGAGTTCAAAACCACCAGTCGCTCCTCAGAAAAAAGAGGAGGCTTTCTACTCCTGTAAAGATGGACAGACTCCGAGCTGTGGGTTGCTGAGTCAGACTGGCCTTGATGGCAGGGAGTTGGTAACGTGGGTGCTGGAGAACTGACTGCACAGCCTTTTTATAGGCCATGCCGAGTATGACCAGCAGATGGCCCTCAGCCTGCTGATTCTCCCTGCTTTATGTTCCCGGCCTTCAACAGCTGGGCAGAATGAACGCAGGCCTGGGGAGCCCTGGTCCCTGCACATGGGTCCATATAGGAGGGGTACTCCCCA